AAATTAGCATATTTTCTCTATATTTTTAGTTAAGCTTTAGCAAGGGCGGATCCTAATTACACACCAGTTACAAAATTAAGTTTTGAAAATCTTAATTTTGTTAGCTAATTTTGTTACAAATTAGGCTATATTAATTTACTATTTTTTAAGATCAAATCGTAATTGTTTTTATTATTAAATACACGAAATTTTTCTCACTGTTAGATACATCCCTCTATAATGAATGGATCCGCCCTTGAAACTTTTACGTACAGTAGCCGCATTATTTTCTAAAGAATAAATAAATAAGGAGATTAAGTTAATATTTTACCTCATTAACATACGAATTAAATCTTTTATTCACTCTGGTAACATTCATACATATATAACTGTACATCTGCAACGCTGTTTTAATTGTTACAAACGAAGGGTGTGCTATTTTAATATATCCCGTGTTGTTTCAATAACACAGACGATAGTATTTATTTTTAGATTAATTAAACTCAATATTCAATTTAATAAACTCGAATAAAATGTTAGGGATGTTGATAATATTCAACAGTTTTAATAAAAATCACTAATGTTAATTTGCATCTAACCTATGTTACAATAACATAATTTATAATTAATACTAAAAAATAGACGTATACCGGTACGTGCTGATATTTTCGCAATTTTTAACGCATTTAGACGAAAAATTTGTGAAAATTTCGAAACGTAAATAAGCTATTTTTAAATTTAATTATCTATAGTACGATATATAAGAAAAAACAATAATTTCTAGCATTTGTTATAGTTCTTAACGAGGAAAAAATATTAGATTGTAAATATTTCGTCCTAAAATACTCGCATCAATTAGAAAATAGCAAAATTAGTAGTTTTGTTGGCAATCACGCTTCCGGAAATAACACTGATTTGTTACATCCTCCGAATGGAATAAAAATAAAAGACCCTCCTTGGATGGGAAGTTTAATCTCCTTTCCTAGACTCTATAAAGTTAATGCTATTGAATACGAAATAGTTTACGAGTCAATGCCGCTACTTTGATTCTTCCTTGCTTTAGATATTCAAAACTTATCCGAAATCCTCGTCGGTATGTCCTTATTTATCCAACTCTGACCGAGATCAACTATAACGTGAGGTTTGATTGTTTTTTTAAAATAAATAAGTCGATATAACTATGCTTCGGTGCTTTAGGATATTTATATTTTCAACGAATAAAAATGTTCATAATTCGTAAACCAGACAGCTTCGTGCGACTTCCGTCTTCGTAGCACCTAGCGCCGATGCCCGACGTGTTTATTAGAGCGTAAAGAAAATGTTATTGTTAAGAGAATCGATAGTACTGTACATCCGATTTGGCATCTAAAAAAGGTGTCATTTTTGAACTCTCATTGAATCACGGTGGTGATAACGTTAGGTTATCGTCACGATAATTACACGTAATCTTTGGATAGGAGGGAAAAAAGAAAAAAAAGCGCAGTGAAGAGTAAACTAAACCTCCTATTTGTCGATTATGGCAAAGACGTCAAACAAAATTCGAGTCGTTTCGAAATTAAAGTCCGTCTCGAAATCTCGATCCAATAAATTCTTATACGCAATAGAAAAATCCAATATAGGTTGGCATCGTTTTACTGCACACTTCGACATTTCGGCCTTACAACGAGGGTGCTCTTTCCAACGGGATTTGAAGTATTAGGGGAAGGACATCATCAGTCGAGTGAAGGAAAGAGGCCCGCTATAAATTTCGGAAAGATCCATTCCATTATGTAGATTTTTCGAAATCATTTCCGCGGTGTTATTCCCGAACGTTAATGCGACATTTCGAGGGAAGCCTGCTCTCGAAAGACGTAGGATATCCTATTATATAAGTACTCCTCGGTAGTATTTGCTTTATCATTTTCCCCCTTTCTTGAGTAAGCATTAACGATTTTTGAAAGTGGATTGTAATATCGAAGCAAAAATAAAAAAGAATTGTTAAGAGTGAAAAATTTTAACCTGGAATATACTTGATAATTCTTCGTAGTCGCGTAAATAATTTGAGAATTTCTTCGATGGTAATTGCTTAATCGAAGCAAAATGAAAACTAACGCTATGTTTAGATTAAAAGTTAAAGGGCAAAAATGTTTATATAAATAACATATTAGGTTACGCAATAAGTTTGGTTAACATAAAGCTGTTCCTGTGTTCTTTCGTCTTTTAAATATATAAATGGCATTTTCGGAAATTATAAAAACCACGATTAAACATTTTAGTAGCTATATTTATTCCAAGGGGTTTTTAAAAGGGAATTTTATGTTTTGTGCAAAAGAAAAATCGTTTTATTTTTCGAACACGTAAATAAAACTAATTGTCTTGTTACGGTTGCATCGCCATCTGTCGGCAGAAAATGCTATGTTAAAGGTCCAGAAATAAAAAATAGAAACTGGATCATTTCAGATCGTCATGTAACTTCATAATTTAAAATTAGTTTTTGAATCAGTTTGAGAAAATTTTTGAGCGCCAAACAGAAGTCGACTATGTTTGAAAGATTCGCTGGAATTTTAATTACTAACGACTTATATCAAGTGAGAAATCAATAAGTAAATTGTGCGAGTCACCCATCGACTATCGCTTTATTGTTACCTGATGTTTTCCTGGTTAGAATTCCGTTCAATGTTTGAATATGGAAATATATACGTAACTCGAGAATATTTTTCGGGAGGAATTTCAGGTTTAAGCTACTTTGCGAAGAACTATTAAGATTTTTCTAGGGAGGTTTACGTGTTCTGAAATTTTAATTATTGTTTAGTTGCGTGCTTTCATTCAATTAAGAACTACATTGAATACAAGTTAAATTAGAACATCCTATTTACTATATTTTGAAAGTAACGCTCTTCGGATTATAATGGTGCTTTGTATTTTTCCTCGCTCCGGGCCTGCGACTGATTCTATATTCGACGAATTTGTGGTTCCTAATAGCAGCTCGAGGCTTTCTTATGTAAAATTCATAATTTTAATACGGTAAGAAGGCTAATTTGTATAATATAATGGCATAACATAACCTATCATCAAATTTTGGCTAGAAAAATGTTCCTAATAAAGGTAGATCCTCGTTTCTTGTGTAAATGGTTTCGCAGTGTTTCATAACTAAATCATTAACCTTATTCGAGTTTGAGTTAATAAAAGTATGACAAGTTTTACGTTTTACAGCGCGACTGTTCCGTGAACGTAATGAAATGTTTCAAAGAAATTCGAACTGGAATGTACCGGTCGGAAATGCCTTTTTTTTCAATATCGTAGCTATTTAAATGGATAAACATATTTTAATGCTAACGAGCCTATTATCGCAACACCAATATCCTGGGTGGTGAATAGAATTTAACAGAAACAACGCTAGGAAACAAGGTTCTCTTCAGAACATCCTGTGTCCTCCACCCATCGGGTCATGCCACAGGTGGACAAGCAACAGGTAACTGCTAGTGATGTACCGTGGGAAGGTGATGTACTGTTCCGATGGAACGGGAAATCGCATAAAGAGGACGGAGTGAATTTCCTGCTATCTGTACTTGATAATTGGATGTCTCCACCCGTTATTGTCGCTACGCGTTACTGTATATTCCACGCCCTCGACTCTACTCGACGGACACCTGACATCATACACATTTCATTGATGAAACAAACAATCGTATTTTTCCCCCTTCTTTTTAAGAGTGTAAGAATGAATTGACATTTGACATTAAAATAATTGGTAATCTTGTAAGCTAGTCCACACATTTACAAAATAATTAAAATTATTAAGGTATAAGATATCTATTTAAGTGTATTACACTTCACTTAGTTAATTCTATATTGTGGTTCAATTTATAATTAGTGCATTATAAAGACTCGAAAAAACTATAAGTAGACTTATAAGAAAATGTCGATTTTTATCTTTATAAATTGTAGTCCCGTAAATGATCAATGTTTGATTTTCAAGCTGACATTTTTTATTTGCAGACAAAGCAAAAACAATGCTTAATTGTATATATTTATCTTGTAGATAAGAGAATACATATTGTATTAGTTAATGTAGACTGATGAGAGGCAAGAATGTCGAAATCATTTGTCATGATAATTATGAGAAATAAGTCAATAAATTGACCTTTACTTATTTACATTTTATGATTTCGTATCTGATTTGTCTGTAATGTGTTTTGATTACAGAGAAAGATATTTTCTTGGTTTTTTTACATGTTAAATATTGTTTCTCTAACATTTTTGTTAAATTTGTATTATTATGAATTGTTTTGTTTTAATAATTTTTAATAAATCTTAACAATTATATCTGGTTATTAATACCACGAATATAGGAATTATAAACGAGATTAAAGATAATTTTTTTAAAGTATTATTTAATCGAGTGATTTAACCAATTACAAATGATCGAATTTAAAGACTATTTATAGGCCCTATATATTCTCTGGGATAAAATATTTATTTCCACCAATATTATATTTGCTTCCCGATGCGTACAAGTCAATACTTTATATACATTTAAAAATCCCCAAAGTTAAAGGACAGAAGTGTATGACGTTGTATATCGATAAGAAAGAACATGTGCATCTCAATTATATTTATCCCGTCTAATCTTTTTGTTTCCGTCTAAATAACTAATACTTTAATCCCAATGTGAATGTATTAAAAATAAAGCTGCCATCGAAGAATACGAAAGGAATGAATTCGTTTAAAAACTAGGTGAAAAATTAGTATTCCGATTATAAATAGGAAACGTTCCGAACATACCCCGAAGATACATTTTTAGGGGGAATTACATTATGTATGAGCTATGAAAACATTAATGTAGATAAATTAAGACGATGATTAAATATAGGAATAGGAATGGTTTGGTAATCTCAAATTTTTCCCCTTTCTTTTCACTGTTAAAATATTAAATTCTTAAAATTGAAGTCGAATATCAGAGAATAATAAAATTCTACATCTACAAAATAAGAAATAGTCTTTATATAATCGCATTTTAACGTGCGATTCGATATTTAACATTTTTTTTTTTTTTTTGTTTTGTTTTTCTTACTGCCATTATTAATCTTTCTGTTTAATTCCAAATAACTTACTGTCCTAAAATGTACTTGGCTATTTATGTCTAAGGCGAGCTTAAATTACTTGTCATCATAGACAATATTCTTTCTCTATACTTTTCAGTTCGGCAATCAGATTTTCCAGGCCAAAGATGAGGCCCTCGTCCGGTCCGCGATGGCGAACGGTCACACCGGGCATATTGTGATGAGTAGAATGAGCAAAGTCTATCAGTCGAATGTCCACTTTGACGTTCTTCTCTTGTATCGTGGCCGATTGTGAATCCTTTGACGCGTTGCTCTTGTACTTGACGGTGTTTCTGTTCTCTTCTGTCTTGTCGGCGATCACATTTGCATTTTCGTTCTCCGTCGGAATATCTGTTCCGTTTGTGTCGCGCAGCGGGGAATGCAGGACATCTTTGCCGTCGTACAGCACCAATAGAGAGCAGCTGTAAAAACGGAATGTTTCCAACTGCCTGATCGTTTCACATATATTGTGAAGTTTGTTCACCAGAGGCGGTATGACTTCCCTGCATAATCTCTGCCCGTTGTGTAGGTAATGCTGCAGCGCTCTCTTGAAGCCTTCCACTGTCAGAACTCTTCCGTAATATTTGTTATGGCAAATGAAGTGGCCAGATTTCAAATGATACACCTAAAAATGTTAAATAATAATATTAAGTTACGTACGTTCCTGTGATAAAAATTTAGTTAAAACTTCATAGCAGTTAATGTATAATTTAAAAGTAGATTAATTAATAAACCGCACATATAAACTAGAAAATAATTCGTTATCGCTTTTCTGCGCAGATTTGATTATTTTATGCTGAACTAATTTTTGTTTAGACGTGCAACTGCTGCTTTAGCAGATGATACGACGTTTGCCGATACATATAACGATAATTTAGTATTAAAATTTCAATGTTGACAGGTAATAACTAGTTAAATTATAGTTATTTGCTAATGAAAACAATTTCTAAGTTTAAGAATAACTTCATGCTTACATTAGGCATGTATATTTTATGGTAAAAGGAATCCTACAACTTCTGATGAGACAAAAGCCTATTTTATTAGAGTGAAATCCAAGTTAAATACTTTAGTCAAAAATAAATATATAAAAATTACTGAAACTCTAAATGGTAACTACTTTGCTATCACCTGCCATCTGTATACATCATTTTTCTCAGGTTCAACTAAACTTTCCTTTCTGATTTTCCAACCTTGTCAAAAATCTACTAGTGCTCTACTATATAATCCTGTAATACATTATTAAATTAATAGAAGTCTGCACAAATACAGTGTAACCAAAGAAACATAAATATCACGCTACTTTTATAAAAGAGCAGAAATGGCAATAGAGGATGAGGTACTGGCATAATTAACAAGATTTTACGAAATAAAAAGAAAATGTGTAACAAAGATGGAAAAAATTGAAATCGATGGGAAAATTAGAGAAAAGATGCATTAAAACATGAGGGGGAGGTCATTTAATACCATCCCGTAACTGAGTTTGTGGCCTAAAAATATTCCAATGCAAGAAAGTAGTATTGATACTTTCGTGGAGGAAACCTGTAAGATGGTCTGTCTTCATCGCAATTAGATCACCACATTCTCGAATTAATTATTATTATTTCAGTAAAATCGGAGTTTGGCAGATATTCTATGGACAGAAAAACTTTGCCACTTAAGACCTATCTGTTAAAAATTGCCCTATATTTTACAATACCTATGGATTTTTACATAATTGATATACATTTTTGTTTTGTAAAACAATATGATAAGAATAGAACCCAAAAATAACAAAATGGCTACTTTTTACATGATAATTAACTAACGTAACTTGGCACTAGAAGTCTTTGGATACCATTCTGTACTGAATTTAGAGAAATATAGAAGAAAAGATTTGGCTTTGAACGAGAATCAAAGTCAAGCTAATGGCAAGTTAGATAGGAAACATTACTAATCATGCTATCTAAGCTTGCCAAGCATAATGTTTTCCCATTTTCCCAACATATGATTCATTCTGCTTCTGTTACTCTTTCCTTTTTAAAAATCTGAATTTCTTAACACTTCCTTTCCATTATGCAAGACAGAAATACTAGTGTCAATCTACTGTTTAACATTAAACATGCCAAAGTAATTTCCCAAAAATGAAATCTTGTTTGACAACTTTAAGGACACAAAGAAATCCTACAAACTAATGACATTGAAGATAAGTAGGTATTTTTCAAAACGATATTCATGGAAAACATGTAATCCATTGTATTGTCCACCTAACAAAGTTTTAAAGAGTAGAAAAGATAGGAAATTCTTGTCTGTTGTCCACAGAAGGCAGTATCTGTAAAATCAAGATATACATCAATAGTCCTATTATTATGCCAGAACTGGATGTTTTGTCCACTAAGTACAGGTGTGTGCTAAACCAGGTCTCACTGTATTATTATTTTAATGTGACCACTGATATAAAATTTGTTGTATTTTAAAACTTGAGAATCTACATAGTTTATTGTACCTAAGATAAATGTTTTTATTTTGAAGTATTTTCCCTATGTATAATGTTTATTTAGACACTACAGTATTTCATTTTCTTTGTTTCAAATATTTTTTTTAATGCTAAAATTTGAGTTTTTGCTCGATTGTTTAAATTTGAAAATGTTCTAAAATTTATATTCTAATGAGATGACATTAGAGGGAAAATGGTGAAATTATTTTAAAAAAATTTGAGTCAAAATTTCAAAAAAGGTATGAAATCTACATCTCTATATTGTTTTAAATTGTTATAATTTTAAAGATACTCTATTGTACCAGTAATAGTACCAAAGAATTATTTTTGAACTCTTCCTGACCTATGAACAAGCAAACAAATGATAAGATTGGATTAACTATTGAGCTAGAACTTAATTAACTGATTAATTTCATAGATAATAAGATTATTCTGGAAAAACAGCCTATATTATTTAATTTAATTCAAACTTATCATTATTATTAAGTTTAATACATGGTGACGGCTTAACTGCCTACCTTTAATCCAAATTATCTAGTATCTATGAAATTAATTAGTCAAGTTAATCCTAGTTAATCCTGCATTATCACTTGATTATTAGAATAATTGTCTTAATTGTCTATATATAAATAAAGCGAGCCTTTGTTCATAGGTTCAGCCAATCCTGCAATGGGATGGTTGGGGAGTGAGAGGCCAGTGCCCAATGTATCTGAGCTGGTCAACTATGAAAATTTCTGAAGGACAGACTTGAACTCAAACCTCGATTCCCAAAGCAGCACACTATTCCTTAACTGTCCTGTCCATCTAATGCAGTGTTTCTCAACCTCTTAACGAATCGTCGCCTCCTTCAGTAAAACCGTTAGGTAGTATCGCCCCCTTCACTACAAAATACCGATGCTGAGGGCCAAGACTAACGCCAAATTCGTACTGCATTGAATAGACTAGTGACTAGTATAATGTTATTTGTTTAATTATTGTACAATATAACAAATAAAATATCTAATTATTCTTAATATAATGTTTTACTATATCGCCCAGAAAATTGTTTTTTGCACCCCAAAATATAAATTGTTGCTAATTGCCCCCTCAACATGGAAAAAATTTCTTTTGTTGTCATTACATTAGATCAGTGTTGAGAAACACTGATCTAATGTAATGACAACAAAAGAAATACTTATATTAAGTTAGGATATTTCAAAATCTAATTATACCTTTTCAGTTTCATAGTAATTTTGATAGTGATACTGTAGTTTATAATTCCTTATGCTGTCTACTTTGTTTAATATCACATCCTACCAATGTTATCTTGGATAGGATATATAGAATAAAAATAGTTGTATGTAATGTTAAAAACTGAATAAATATAATATATAACAAATGCCAGTAATCACTTTTTATCATGTACACTCGAAATACAGAATGTAAAAAAATTAACTGCCAGTTCAAACAGAATTTAAATATATTTAATTTATCTAAACTTATTTTTAGGTATTATATAAAAATAATAATAATCTGAAGAACGGCATACAGAATTCATGCACAAGAATCTAATAATAATCGATACAATTCATTGCAATTAACATCCCTACTTCTGAAAAACATATTTTTTGCTACTTCAAATTATTTTAATTTTATAAAATTTACTACATTTATGAAATTATAATAAATATTTATTTTTCTTTTATCAATACACTTTCAAGATACATAGCAAATAAAGTAAATAAATGAAATGAAATCATTAAACAAAATTAGTTGTTGAAACAATTTTTCAAAGCATATATATTAACAATTAACTTCAAATTATTTATTCTAAGATTCTTTTTTAATTATGTGGAATAAATATTTCTTTTGGCAATTTTGCCTGGGAATTTATTATGAAAAACAATTCTAGAATAGCTTATCCATTAAGTTATGACATGTGACACAGATAATTCACTATGCAATGCTGATTTTGAAATTGTTCTAGAATCTAAAACATTTTAAATTTTAAAGAAGAAGAAAAAAAATTCAAAGACATCTCAGATAAACAGCAGAAGTTTATCATCATTATTATTACTATACTACATAATTCCTAAGATAGGAATGAAGAAAATATATTGAAATGTTAAAATGTGTTAAATAATGTGATAATGTAAACAAGGTCTGTAAAAATTTACAATGTTTTATAAACTAAAAGTTTCTTTAAAATGTTAATAAAGAAGCTTTAACATGTTTTAAAACTTCTTCCTTTTCATTATAATTGCTCTTAGTGTGTACAGTTTTTTTATGATCACGTAATCATTACTAAAGTTTCTTCAAACTTTTTACATCTTTTAAAGGTTATATTTTTAAGAGAACTTTAAAACGACAAATACGTTTAAAAGTATACAATGTTAACAGTGGCGTAACGAACATAACTGGCGCCCGGGGCACGGCACTTTTTTGGCACCCCTCCCCCAAATCTTGTTTGTCTTGGAGATCATTTGGTGCCCCTATGCAAGTGGTGCCCGGGGCACGATAGACCCCAGTGCTTCTTCTTTGCTACGCTAGTGAATGTTAAAAATAATTGTTCTTGATACTATGATGTTGATTTTTATACCAAGATACTGAAATTAAATGTTTTTCTTTTTGAAATTGTTCAATTTGCAAATTTTTTTCAATGTTTTCATAGTTTTTTTTATTTACTTTATAATCAGATTTCACCAGTATACTCTGAAAGAGAGAGCTTCTTACTACAAGATAATAACTGATAAAAATTAAATATTTATTGAAACAGTCTAATAGTATTTGAAAATCTGAAAAGTAAACAAGCAGAATTTATTTTCATCAAATTTAAGAATTATATAAGTAATAAATATGACCTTAAATTAATTTTGTTTTTTTAATCAAACAATTAAAAGATATTTTTCTTTCATTTAATAAGTAAATGAAAATACTTCACAGTTTATTTTCTGTAATGGTGATTTAATTCTAATTAATTGCATATAAATAAAAAAACTGTAGAAATATAAATGGCTGTCATTCTGTTTCACTGATTTAAAAATTAACAGGCTAATGTATGAAAAATTTTCATCTTTTCAATTCTATTCATCAGCATGAAGCAACTAAATACAAATTTACAAAAATTAGAATTACAACTAAGATGAATAATACAATTACCTATTATACAAAACAGAATTATTAATATGTATATACTGTATATTTATTGGGTGGATGAAAAGAATCATCATAAATGGACAGTTAACTTAGATTTAATAAAGAATAAAAAATATGAAAAAACATTAAATAAGCAATCACTTTTATTTTTTTACATCAAATTAACCTCAAACATTATGAACTACATTACAAGAAAAGAAACTCAATAACAAAATTACTGGAGTTTCTATTATTTAGAAATTATGAAGCAGAATGGCAAAACACTGAATTAATTGTAAAGATGGACAAGATTCAGCTCTTATTATACTCATTTGAAACAATCACCATCAAAGCCTATAATCCAATAAACATGTCAACATACAATCTTTTTCATATCTTACAGATGTCACTAAATATAGAACTAAACAAAGCTTAAATATTTTTTAGTTTATCTAATATTATTTAATAAAACATTTAACACCTTATAACGCTGAGAATATTTATTAAATCACAAACATTTTCAGCCTAATGGAATAGGCCATCATCATATAAGGTGTTAAATGTTTTAAAAGAAGCTGAGTTTGATATTCAATTTATTTAATATTTTTGAACAATTTTTGTTTATTATCTCTTATAAGTAATAACATTCAGGTACCCCTTGAAACAAGTAGTTAATAATGATTAAATCCAGAGTTTTGTATCTAGCCGATGCCATGCATTAGTGGTTCTCAACTTTTTTCACATGCTTATACCCAAGCTTTCTATATATAGACTTGTAGCACTAATGGATCCTTCTTGCATACTGCCCATGGTATGTGTACTGCTTGAGAACTGCTGCATTAGATACTGTCTGCATCTCTCAGATTGATACAAGACTCTTTGAGACTTTGCTTAAGATTTCTGTGTATTTAGCATAGAGTGGATCATGTGTTTTTTATAATTAGAACTTTATCTAAGAGCTGTATTGTTCTACAGGATAAATATGAAATTAAAACATATATTAAAATAAACTTTTTAAAACAATTTTATGTATTTTAATAAAGCAAATATATTTAGAAAATAATATGTAGAACTTATTGATTAGCATAAAAGTTTGTAACGTCTAACTCTAATGCCAAATTGTCTATTAAATTAGTATTATAGCCATTTCTAGCCCGATAATTTTCGGCTTTGGTTGATGTATAAAAGTTTGTTGTTAGGTTGTTTGCTGTAATAAATTTTACGTGCTGTATTTCAATAGTTTTCTTTAATAAATTTTAATTATCACTATTATATTTGCTATTTTCATCATATTTTTTACCACACATTAAATAAATTTGTTAGTTTTCTTGCTTTAAAAGATCAGACAAAAATAATTTCTAATAGATTTTAATTATTATTATTGAATACAATAGCAATACAATAAACTTTGACACATTTAAAAAAAAAAAGTTTTACGTATTTAGTATTTGTTTTTTTGAAGCCAAGACACTTCCTCTTCAGATGGAAAAAATTGAACAGATTTCTTGTTAAAGTTTATTGCATAGCTTTTATGTCTTAGTGCTATTGGACACATTTTAGAAGTTTTTACTTACTTGCATTCCACACAATCTTATACCCAAAGCTTTTGATGTAGTAGATGCTACTTTGGCTTCATGTGTTTGTCGTTTCACTAAAGAAGCATCATCTCCAAATTGTCTTGTACCCATTTTTAAATCCAGTATACAGGGATAGGTATAATTGTAAGTCAAGTTCTCTAAAACAATGAATTCTGTAAGATAAAAATTATGCAATTAAGTAAATTTTATTATTTCTATTAAATTCCATTTTATGCCAATTCTAAGATTATTTTAATCCATTTTTTACTTATCCAAAATGAAAGTGCATCTTGCATTTGCAGTTCAAAACCAAATAATTAGCAGTTATCTTGAAAGGATTTGTGATGCATTATGTACCAAAATAATGTTTTTGGCTATTGGCAGCAAGGTTTACTTGAGGGGATTGTTGAGTGTATCGCTTGACAATCATCTCAAGTAAACTTTGCTGGTAACAAGTGTTTCGTGTAAACTCCTTTTTAATGCTTAAAATGCCCTAAGATGAGATTAAGATATGGCATTAAAAAGAAAGTTATTACATAATAGTGTTTGGCACTATTTCCATACTCTTCAATCTAATTTGTGCCTTTTTATTGTTTTTCTCACTTGATGAAACTTAATAAAATTGATTTTTTAAAAATCGATTCCAAACCCAAGATACATCTCAGAATAGAGGAAATACTATATTAAACTCTTATTGATTTAAATTTTATTAAAAATGTATTAAAATAAAGTAAAAGTATGAATACATTAAATTTAATGGATAAAGACATATACCTTGCTCTCTATACATTTTCAATACTAATAAGATGTATATACTAAAATGTAGAAACCTGAGTTCAAATTCATAAATTAATCTATTCTGATATATCCATTCCCCACATACACAAAAATTACTTATTTGAACATTTTTAAAACATTTATAAATGGATAAAAAGAATTTTATAGAAATATTTAGTTGTACATAAAGTAAAAAGCACTATAAAACAGAACTTTGAAGTTGTTCGGCTTATTACAAAACCCAATATATCTGTAATAAGCCGAACTACTACCAGATTACAACAGGCTACTTTTCCATGATTATTTTTAATTAATTTCTAAATAACTTGTCACAAGAGGAAGATGTTAGGCACCATCTCTTATTAAATTTAATAATTATAAATAAATTAAATAATTTAGAATATTCTGGAAGAAAAGAATCGGCCCGGAGTGGGACCCGAACCCGCAACTCCCACTTACATTACCCGAGTCTCCAAACCGATCTCCTCTTCCAGATATATTTAATTATGATATAACTATCCTTGATTATATTATAGATATAACCAAGGTACCTTAGGTACCTTCCTAAAACCATAAACAACCAAACTTGTGTTTAACAGCCATCATACTCTCAAACTTGGCATACCAAAGGATCTTAATGCACTTAGCATGTTGCTCCACGGTCACTGCCAATAATACTTTTGTCACACAACAAAACTACCCAATGAAACTCCAGCTTTACCTCACTGTTGTGGCAGAATTTGAACTTCATATGACTAATGTCTTTATTACAACACAGCTTTCAAGTTATCCCCCAAACAGATTATTCTGTATATATTGTGTATTTAATATAAATATTACAGATACCAAGAATTTTCTTAAAAATAAAGCATTAGTCTTTGTGCAATAATGCTAATATTTCTGAATATCTTGTTTACTGAAATAACTGCTATATTTTATATAACAATTTTTTTAATTGATAAATTGATGTCCTGTTAAAATAGCAATTCTTTAAAATTACTCTGAAGCTGTGAATCTACAATATTGAAATCCAACAATCTTAAACCAAATCAGATAGGAAGAAAGAAGCTATTAAATAAACAGTTACCAAAATATCTTTCCACAGTTTTATCAAATATTAACTGTTTATCAGAGCATACAAATACAGTCGACCCCCGTATAAGATCATTGATTATTCCATTTTATATGAATTCCATGTTGTACAAGTCACTTAAATTTTACAAATACGTGAGCCGTACACAGCCCGGTACACGTATTTGTAAAATCTAAGTGACTCGTACAACATGGAATTCATATANAACAACAATAGACGAAAACGTTTTGTTAGACATTTTTACAGCCAATCTAAGTCGACTTAAAATGTAGGAAACTTATTGAAAATGATAAATTCTTATATGAATTATGAAACTAAGATGATGCATAACGTTCAGGAAAATTTGTCAAGTTATTCACAAATGATGGATTTTGTTGTCATCATTATTAATAGTTTCGCTTAAGGGAAAATTGATTTATCATCGGTTTATCTGATAAAACTTATTCGAACATTAAACTCATTTTATTAAATTCACATAACACTCGGAAAGAATAAAATTCACGTATATTTTAGCATAAGATGGTCGAATGTTTCCCATCAGCTATCGATTTTTGTGAATATATTTGCATCTGATAATAATTTGGAATAATGCAATTCGCTGTTCGACTAGTTTATTATTAAGCACATTTATATTACATTCTAATCCAAATATTCTTCATTTCATTTTTACTAAAGCTATTCTCGAAATATTGTTCGAAATATAGAGTTGAAAGGTTATGCGAACAGTTACATCAAGCCGAATGTTCATTAATGAACGATAAAGCATCTCTATGTAGTACAGCGTTTGTATGACATGAGAGAGATAAATGATGATTACAGACAGTATCGACAAAAATGTATCCACATTATTCGTGAAGAACAAACACAATTTCCAAAATTGCCTGTAGAGCATGAAACTCGCTTCTAATCATTTCCCATGATAGTTATATGATGTTCTGTTAGATGATTATAGCGGTCAAGAAAGGTGTAAACTTCATCCTGATGTCCATCAAACAACAACTGGAAACATTAGGCACTGTGGGATAGAGTTAAGTTCCCTATCCCCACATTAAGAAATACATAATTTCGTACAGAGAAACAGAGAAATCTTCGGTGATGTCATTATGTAATGTAATGTTCGTAGGTTGGAATCAAAAAGAATTACGTAAGTTTGACTATTGTTAATTGCTTATACAGTGGTACCTCAGGATACGAACGCCCCAGCATAAGAAATTTTCAGGATACGACATGAAATTCGAACATATTTTTGCTCCACGATACGAACAAAAACTCACTATACGACGTTACATTAGTTCGCAGCGCCATTTTTTATTCCCTTCTGTTCATCGGTCTCAGTCCGCGTGTTTGCTTGTCGTGGAAGGATCTCGCTCGATAAAGGAAATCTCGAGGTATTACCATAAAGTGACTAATTTTATCGAAAAGAAACATCTCAAAAAGGTTCAAACTAGCTGTATTGCCGCTCGGAGTAATGATATTTGCTTAAGTTATTTCAGAAACATTTTAAAAAGTAGGCAAAGCCAAGCCTCTTTCGATAGATATTTTACCAAGTGACCTCTATCCAGTTAAAGTGCTGGTGGAAGTGAAGGAAAGAAATTTTCTTTCTTTCCTTCACTTCCTTCCTTCACGCAGTGAATAAAAATTTTTAAAAGTATATAGACAACAACCAAATTTTTTAATCTTTTCTAAGTTATTGTTACATTATGTTTTGTAAGTTAAGTTTTAGTATCATTTCCCTTCTCCGTCTCTTCCGCCACCAGTTTACACCTCCACCGTAGTCTATCCTTAAAGCTAAAGTGCAAATAAAACTACATTTTTTTTTTATCAATTATTA